CCTTCCCACCCCCGCTGCTGCCTCTGATAGTGCAGAAGATGAAGGGGGTAGGCTGGAACCGATACGTGCAGGAAACTGGCATTCAAACCAGCTCCCTATGTGTATCAGCTCAACAGATCCACCTGCCCTGCCCTGACTGCGTCCTACAGAGAAGAGGGGGGCAGGCAGGAGCCGGTCTTAGGGGAAGCCGGCTTAAAAAACAGCCCCCTGCACTGCACCAGCTCCACAGAGAGGGTGAGGAGACAAGGGAGACTGATCCACATGCCATGGAGCAGCCTCTGTCTGCAGTGAGCCTGGGCCTAGTGTAGACATAGGCTGCTTCATGGCAGCATCCCATCTGTGGGGGAACTGAGCTTCTCACGGAAAGAGGCTGCTCTGCATCCCATGGAGCAGAGTTTGACCATGGGGAGCTTGATCCCCCACAGACAGGGGAAGCTGCCAGCCTGTGTTACTGCCTCTGTATCAGAGGCAGCAGTGTGGGGCAGCTGGCAGCCAGTACACAAGAGGTACTGGCTTTTAAACTGGCTCTCCTCATGGACCAGCTCTACCTACCACCCTACACTACTGCCTCTGATACAGAGGAAGCAGCACGGGATGGCAGGGGGATCTCTGGGCATGTGGCCAGGAGCTCATTGGCTTCCAGCCCTGCCCCTGGGGACTACTGAGTAGTCATGTAACCGATATTTTGTGCGGTTACACGACTATTCAATTCACAATATCTAACATCCCTTTTTTTACTTGCTTTGGTCCTGTATAAAGATTGCAGCATGCAGCAGGACATAGACAAGTATAGAGATGACGACAGTCCGGGTGCGGGGAGAGGCATCAGCTTTGTCTACACTGAAAACTATAAAGTGCAGGTCTGGCCACAGCAGAACCATTGGGAGAGCTCTCCCAGTGCTCTGAGTAAACCATTGGAGAGTAGCTAACTGTACTGGGAACATGGCTCCTAGTGCCATAGGCTGGGCAGTGACGGCAGCATGATCAGGACTGTCTGCCTGCCAGCAGCAGGGCTGGGGCTATAGCTGCAGCAGCCTGGGAGGGGTTGGCCAGGCCAAGCCATGGCTGCTGGGGCCATGTGTCCCCCGACAGCGGGACTTTGGCTGCAGACCCAGTAGTCTGGGAAGGGAAACTTTTCAGGGCCACAGCAATCCAGAAGAAGCAGTGTGGCTGGCCACATGCCACTGAAAGGCAGCAGAACTAGGGCTGGCCAGCAGGCAGCCTGGCCAGACCAAAGGAACCAACATGAGGGAGGGGCAGTGAGCTGAAGGGCTGGTGTCAGGGGACCTCCTGTTATCCAGCAAATTCCCTCTCCAGGAGCGGTTAGGTCCCAAGAGTGCTGGACCAGGGAGGTCCAACCTATATTTGCAGTTTGTACCTTTCAACATGCTGAATCTGGTCTATTTTAAGTACTAAAAACATCAGTCATTTTAAAAAGTAACATACCTGCTTTGGGCTTGTTATATGGCTCATATTCATGTTCCACAGCACAAGCTATCATTTTCATAATCCTGTGTCCTGCACTGCTATCCAATCGAAGATAAAGTGGACCTACAATTAGGCTTTTTGTAGACATCTCCTGCATATTTACAAAATCTTCACTCTTTGCTGAAGAAAGGTCTTGCTGATTTCCAGAAACTAAATAAATATGCATTTTTTCAGTCAGTAAAATGAACTATGATAATTGGGAATAACTTCTTCAATTATTTTTGATACCGCTCTTACGACCACAGAATACCAGAAAAAAAATTCACAGAAAACAATGTAAATGCAACACTTCTGTTAATGGAGTAAATCTATATGTTGTAGATGTGTTATTCCTTTTAAATGCTGAGAAAACTAAGGCTAAGATTCTACACTGTGCAATATAAAAGAGCAGACCAGGGAAGGCAGCACTCAGGTGGCTTTACACCACGTTTTTGAAGCTAAAAACAGACACAGATAATTCAGGCAGTTCTGAGAAACTGTCTAAATTACAGAAGCCTGATCCCAGAGGCCTATGATAGCTGTGCTGCTTAAAATCTTCACAACATGGGACTGTCACCCCAATCCCAATAACCTCTGTGACCTCAGTTCCTACACCAGAATTCCTCCTGTAGAAGGAGATTTTAAAGCCCTTTTACCTGTCATAAAGGAGCCTGAGCAGAACTGAGAATCTCACCCTAAATTCTTGTACTACAAATTGGATTGACAACCCTAAAAGATAAATGTGTCTCGTTCATCCACATGTGAGGTATAACACAGGTAGTGAGAATACAATCTACTTCACCCATGTGTTTCATTCCAGTTTTTGAAGGACCTCCCCAGGGATGAAAGGATTTTTCAATCTCCATGTCCAGTTGATCTTTGGCCTCTATGCTGAGACTGCCAATAAGTATGCCAATTAAAGCTAAATGTGATGGAAGTTCTTCTGTTACATACATTTGGAAGAAACTGAATGAAACCACCAACTCATTGTACTCAGGCTACTAGACAACCATTAGATGGTACTAACTACTGAAATATTTATTATAAAATAATTTGGCTAAACTCTAACTTTAATGATTTAGAAGCTTCGGGAGGTAGCTGAGTTAGTCTGTACACAGGATAAACTTGAACAACAACAAATGGTCTGATAGTACTTTATAGACTAACAAAACATGTAGATGGTATAATGAGCCCACTTCTTCAGATGACCGGAGTGATTTAGGTTTTATAACTTTTACACTATTCATTAAAATATTTCTTTGCTTTTTCCTTAGCATATTTACTCAGGAAAGGTCCATTTAGACTTATTTCATTTTCAGTGATAAGCAATGTATCATAATAGACTTTATGGCTTGCTTAATGTCCCACAAAATTAGAACCAGGATCAAAGTGACTTTAACCTACTTCTCTAATAATGCACAAAAGAAACAAACAAATAAAATACAGGAATAATCTGTATCAGGAATGAGCAAAGAGAGCTTCGACCATTCCAAGAACTATCATATCTTGGTGGAATCTGCATAACTAATATATTTGTTTGTTTGTTTTAGCAAAACAGGTACTAACCGGTGCGATTAACTCCATACACAATAAAAAACTTTTCACTTTGTGACTGTAACAGTACTTTGCAGATTCCCTCTGAGAAAATAACACTACATCCTATACTTCTAGAAGGCAACTCTTTTCTGAACATCCCAGAAGCCTATTCCTCATGCTACTAGATGGAGGGACTGAAGCTCTGGAAGATAAATCATGCCATACTTCTTGGCCAACAAATCCAGTGCCAGAAGCAGAGATTCCATTACACATCTTGATAGGTGAACTAAGTCCACATACCACTGCTGTAGTGGCACAGTTAACATTACCTTAGTCTTGGCCTATCTTATTTTGTTTATGATTTTTTCAATTAAGGATATCTGGAGAAATGCACACATCAGACACTGACACCAATGAATTAAGAAAGGCACCCCATACTGCTTCTCTATATATGCCTGATCTTGAGCAAAACTTTTGACACTTCGGTTGTTGCTGAACGTAAAAAGATTATTGGATTTCCCCCTACACTGAAAAGATATATTCTTACTCTATTGTTCAAAAATTATTTTGACCTGCTCAGATGGTCTGCAAGAGCATTTTGCTCCCCAGTTACTTGGATCACTACTGCATGAACATTGTGACTGATACACCAGTTGCAAAGTCTCTTCACCTCCATCCATAACTGTAGAAAAAGAGTGAACCCTTATTGATTCAAATAATATAGCATGTTATGTTATCTGTTACTATCTGAACTACTCTAAGTTTATCTAAGGTAAAGTGCCTTTAAGAACAATCTGATTACTTACAGTTCTAATTTTTGATGTGTAGAATCCTTTTTTTTTTAATTTAGTGATCAATGAGCTCTGACTAATAGCTTGGTATTTAAATTGCCCCCCAACCCAGTATAGATACATCTATGGTGTCAGTGGTGGGGAAGGAGAACTAAAAGGTATATCAATCATTACACTCTGAGCATTTGTCCACCACTTGGTCTATGGTCAGACTGCACCAGTTCAGAACATCTTGAATGTGGGAATATACACAGGACACTAAGAAAAATATCCAATTTTAGAGGTAATAAACTTACCTGTGTCTTTTTATATTGATGACTTTGTATAAGAACAAAATATTTTCTTTAACAGTGCATCTGTTCACCATTCCTCAGCTGACAGCACTATTCTATATGGGACCATGTACACAGCAGGGCTTAACTAGAAATAAGATATGCAAATTGAGCTACGTCAATTGCGTATCTTATTTAGAAATAGGGAGCATCTACACATCTCTTATTTCATAATAGAGCATTCTTCCTCCAACTTCCCTTATTTTTTGTACAATGAGGGTTAGAGGAGTCGAAGTAAGTAGTCCTCCAGCTTGACAATATTTTGACGCTATTTGAAAATAACTGCCTGCTGTAAAGACGTGGACTAAATTATTTCGGAATAGCACTAGTTATTTTGAAATAGTGTTGAAGTGTAAATGTATTGTAAGTGTGGTAATTGTTTTTACAACAGACAATTGTGAGTTCCCCAGTATGGATATAAGTATATGTAGAGAAAACAGCTAATTTAGAGCAGATGGGAGGATAGGCACATATACACCTGCTTGATCAGAAACCAACCACGTAGGCACCAGAGAACCGACATAGCAACAATATTTGTTCATCCTTAAATGAAGGTATGGAATGAAGCAGTTACCCAACAAGGGGACAGAACTATGGAATAGCAGTTCTATAGACTATTTGGTCAGAGAAAAGGACCTTTAATTACCTATACAGGCAGTCCCTGGGTTACGTACAAGATAGGGACTGTAGGTTTGTTCTTAAGTTGAATCTGTATGTAAGTCGGAACTGGCGTCCAGATTCAGCCGCTGCTGA